TTTAGAATCTCAGTCTATAATAATAAGCATGGCGAAAACTGTGTTACGTGATGACATTTTATATGACAGCACAGACCAACTTAGAAACCCTGGAACATACAATCAGTAATATGGTGGTCGTTAAATGGACAAAATAGTTATTATACGCATGTACGAAATAGGTATTACACTTTTATTTGAAAACCTGCTTGGAATAACAATAGTTTTTGTGTTATTCTCTGGGTGCGAAAGTATGTAAGATTCCTGGCCGTCTGCGGCATCGAACTGTTGAGCTCCCACGTACGGGCATGCACGTATTGGCAGCGTGACGGCACAGCATGCTACGAATGGGTTGCGCTTCTCATTGAAAGCCTGTTGTGATAACAAATGCAGTCGTAACTGCTGAACTGGCGGTGTGCTCTTGTTTTAGCTCGGCTGATCAGGTTTCCGGGGTTCACAATCACGGTTTCAGAATGAGGTGATCGATTTCTATTGCCTCTTGTGTGGCAGCACTGTACGTCAGTGCCTAACATTGCTTGAGAGATTCACCGAAGTTAGAGGTGTTTTTCACGGATTTTCGATGAGTTTGACGGTTTGGCAGTTTTTTTCGGCTAAGGACACTCCCGGGTATAGAGATGGGCGCTGGTGAAAATTGGCCATCCAGATCGCATTGGACGTGTTTGGCCTGCCTAGTAGGGAATGATACATAGAGGAGACTAGATACATACATCACGAACTCAAATAATCATATTAGCGATTGGGGACGTGTAGTGGCATTTCCCCCCCCCCCCCCGATAGCGTTGCGGTACGGCTGAGCCGTTCTCTAGGTTATTATTTATAATATTCGGTAGAGATTACACTTTTATATCATTAGCACAGTGGGAGAAAAAGAAGAGTGTGGAGTAGTGAGCAATGGAGAAATGAGAGAGGAGAGGAGAAAAGAGGTGAGAGGCAGATACCAGAAAGAAAACGACGAGAGAGAAGCGAGATTATGCAGAGAGGAGAGAGCGAGAGAGAGAGAGAGAGAGAGAGACGATGAGGACTGAGAGAGAGATGGAGAAAGATAGGAGAAAGAGAGCGAGAGAGAGACAGAGAGCGATCTGAAGAAGACTGAGAGTAAAACTAGGCGACGTCGGCGTGAATTGTGCACGTAGACGACAGCTTTCATCCCCCATCATCCATTTCCAGTAATAGCGTCACCGGTTGACAGCGTAAGCCGCAAGTATTAAGTACTCGATGTCTGCTGTTGACGCCGAACGAGATTCACACACACGAAAAAGAATCTGCCATGTGTACGTCAGCATAAGACCTGCCGGACTGTTCACAGTATCTTATTGCAATCGGACCCGGATCATAATACCGATCCTTCTTACTTCGCGCATTCGCTATTCGGCGAGAGTTTGTTCGAGTGGGTGTGAAATCCTTCGTTTGTTATTCGGTGTTAATGCGGTTGTAATGTTGATCGATGCTCGGCGTCCGATCTTGTAAACGCGTTCTGTAGGTGCTGAATAATTAAACGCGCGCGCCGCCTGAATTCGTCGTCTGACGTCACGTGACTAGAGGCTGTTGTGACATTTTCGGTTTCTCTGGAGAACAGCTGGGCGCGCATCCCGACGGGGCACACGAAGCGCGTTCACGCGCACACACGCCACACATACATACATACTGCGCCACACACACACACACACACCACACAACACCACACACCACACACACACACACACAACACACAACACGCCACACACACACATACACACAACACGCACACACACAACACGCACAACACACACACACAGCACACACACACACACACACACACACAACACAACACACACACACACACACACACACACACACACACACACCACACACCACACACACACAACACACACACACACACACACACCACACGATTGATATCTTAAAACAGACGTGAAATTCGAGTTATCCTTAATTTGGCTTTTCAGAAATTGCATAAAATTTATAAGCAGTAAAATTCAGATTTTCTCTGCGCGAAGACTATCTATGCCTGAGATCATTTCAACACACGGGCATATGTTTGATATATATATATATATATATATATCAGGAGCGTATAATGACAAATTTCATTTTGTCAAAATGTCGAATTTGTCGAAATGAAATTCAATTTCAAAATGACAAAAATCATATTTGTCATTATACGCTCCTGATATATATATATATATATATGAACCCGTGCGATATTTTCTTTGCATATTTTTGCAATCGTGGGCGTGTACGTGCGTGCGTACGTGGGTATATCCTAGCTCTACCGGTGTAGCCCCTTTGCTCTCGCTACAGGGGTCTTGTAGCAGGAGCGAAGGGGCTACGCCGGTATAAAGCTAGGAGGGTATGTCCGTGCTTGCGCTCGTGCGCGCATGGGTATTTACGCTCCCATGATTTTAGCTCAGCTGACGAAGTCAGATGCAGCTTGTAGAATCGCATGATTGTCCGTCCGTCCGTCCGTCCGTCCGTCCGTCCGCGCGTCCGTCCGTCCGTCCGCGCGTCCGTCCGTCCGTCAACAGTTGGGCACAAATCTTAACCGTTCGACGTACGGTCTTGATATTCGGGACGTCGGGGGGGGGGTCGCAAAAAAGACTCGGGATGTCGAATTTGGGGGGTCAAGGGTCAAAGGTCAAGATGTGTCAATGGAGGGGGAATATTTCACCCTTAACATAATGTATAGGAGGAAATACGGAATTGCGGCACAAATCTCAACGGCTCGACCTACGCTCTTAATATTCGATGTATAGTGTGATGGGGAGGAAACCCATCACCAGCGCGAAGTTGAAGGTCACAGATCAAAGGGCAGTGGGGGAAAGGTCAGATATCAGACATTTTCTGAGGACATGGTCTAAAGGACCGAGTGCAAAACCTTTTTGTTTCAGCGCTGACCTACCGTTTTTATCACTTTATTGAAAGGACCATGAAATCTACTTTCCGCTGACGTGCGAAGAGTCAGTGTCTGATAACCTTTTGACCATCAAGAGGAGGGTTAAACATGGATTTGTTGACTGTTAACAAAGGACTGAACTGCTTTTGCTATTAGAGCCCCCTTTATTACTGTACTACCAGTATGTATAGCAAAGCCTATCATAGATTTTATATCTGTATTAGTAGTATCTCAGATATATGCTCTGAGAGCGAACGCGGTGGCGGAGGGCGCACTTGATTCGGTTGCCAGTGAGTTTATCAGAAGAATACCTGGCTACAGTACACGTCAGTTGAGCGCTGTCGCTCTGCGGCACTTGTTTGTATATGCATGTGTACATATGTGCACGCGTACGTGCGTGTGCGTGTGCTTGCTGCGCGCGTACGTGCGTGAGTGCGTGTGTGTTGGTTTGCGTTTAGAGGCTCTAACCGAAAAAAGTTTCTTTTCTTTGCACTTGCTTTAATTAACCCGGAGCCATGCAGCCTTGAGACTGAGCTGACTGTTGATCGAATGTGCAATGTTCCCCCGTAGTGATGATTTATAGCCCTATATATACCTTATAGCGCACCTGTCACCGACGCGCAGGAAACCGTTCGTCATTTATGGCATATTATATCTAATTAATGTTATCGCCACCAATATTAAAAGCGTAGATTTGGGAGGAGCTGCGAGCGCTCCGATTGGTCGGTCAATTTGGGAGGTATGCAGGCCCTAGCTGCGTGTTTAGCGCTGTTTACATCTCAGTCTACAGTCACATACGTAACACTCAGTTTACAGTCACACATCTCAATCTACTGTCACATACGTAGCCTCGTAGGCGCCTAGATCTACATACAGTTAACACGTACAACGGTACATGCATACACATGATTATGATACGGCGTACAAACCCATTCACGCACTTGAACATGAGACCCTGTAAATGAAAAGTTACACACTTTCTGTTTCACTCCGCGAAATGAAAAGCTCACATGACCACATTGCATGGCTTTTTGAATGCTATACTAATACTGTTATCGCTATTAATTACACTAATAACGATATTATGAATAGTTATTTAAGATTTATTTTGCCTTTGTGCCGATTCGCCTGTGTTGTCTGCTTAGATTTGCACAAAACTGGCGCCACGCATAGTCGCATACTCCTTTTCTCTGTTTGTTGTGTGCGTGCGTGCGTGCGTGCGTGCGTGCGTGTGTGCATGCGCGCGCGAGTGTGTGTCTGTATGCGCGCGTGCTTGCATACGTGTGCGTGCGTGCTTGCATACGTGTGCGTGCGTGCGTTTGTACACGTGTACAAGAAATGCGCGATGGTTTCGTTGCCGGTTGGTGTCGTTGCTACGTTATGCCGCAATTTTCTCCGTGCGATCGATGCGCGCGTATGTTGGCGTGGGCGACCGACTGCCGTCGTCGCTGCGATAACCAGCCGACAGTTCGACATCCGTTGTCGCCACGCTAAACCCAATGTTATTCGTAGCGATATGGCGATATGTCGGCGCCGGGAACACGTGCGATTAGGTCCGTAAAGCTCGCGGGGGAGTGTTTCAAACGCTTGCCTGCGTGTGTTCATCGCGCCGAGAAAATTGGCAATTGATTTCGTTGTGCGAGAAGCGAAAACGCGAAATGAATTTGCGTCGGCAGGCATTGAAGTCGTCGGCAGCGTCGTCGGCAGCGTCGTTGGCAGCGTTGTCGGCAGCGTCGTCGGCAGCGTTGTCGGCAGCGTCGTCGGCAGCGTCTGCCGACGCATAGTCGGTTCACGTATCGCACGTGCTGCCTCCTGTATGACGTCTCAAGAGGACGTGCGATGATACTAGCAGATGAAGAAACTTGCTGGTGCGCTGGTCCCTCATTATACTAGCAGATGAAGAAACTTGCTGGTGCGCTGGTCCCTCATGATAGCTATTGTGCTCCTGTCTGTGGTCTATACGCTTCCTCCAATAACTAACTCACGAGCGGCCATGAAAGCAATGCACAACCTAACCCTACCTTCATATATGTATCACCCACATTCAACTACCGACACTGGGAGTTTTTCAGGCCCACGGACTTTACGTTTACCAATCTATTCTCAGGTTACCACGAACTAGGACGGACCGGACCGCCCGCTACAGATACGGCAAACCTGACCCGCTGCTAGTTGCTGACATACGGAGCTTCGCAGCAGCGCCGCCGCCTCACCTGTGGCAGCACCGTTGCGTCGTCGCGAGGCACCGGCCCGCGCGCGTGAACGTGCACTTCGTATTACACGCCTCCCAGTGGTAATCCCCGCGCACACAAACGAACGTGGTCGATCGCACGCACGGCAAGAGCAAAAAAGTGACCGACGATCGTAGACTGACACCCCTCCTTCTTCATCGGGAATCGGCGAGCCGACGGCAGCCGTGGAGACAGTCTAGCCACCCGATAAGAGACGAGCGCTGAGGCGACGTGTCGCGGGTGCGCGCTTACTTAATTTCGCCTCGCTGCGACAGGCGGCTCTCTTATCGCTCCAGTTCATCTCACCTCCCTCCTCGAGCTGTCGTTTTGCCGATAACTGCATCTATATCTACAGCGAGAGACAACGACGAGACTTTGGTGCTGCTGCTGCTAGCTGTCGTCTGCGCGCGTGTGTAGGCGAGGACTACGGTGCAGAGCACTACGACAGCGAGTGTGAGAAAGAGAGAGGGCAAGAGAGAAGGCGAAAGGCAGTCGGACAGAAAAAGGGAGAGTGAACGTGAAAAACAGAGAGAGAAAAAGTGAGTGAGAGAGAGAGCGAGAGAGAGAGAGCGAGCGAGAGAGAGAGAGAGATTGAGAGAGAGAGAGAGTGTGTGTGTGAAAAAGAGAGCGAGAGCGAGAGAGAGAGAGTGCGCACGCGAGAACAAAAATAGAGAGAGAAAGTAAGAAAGAGATCTGTAGAGAGTGCGCACGCGAGAAAAAGAGATAGATAGAGAGAGTGCGCGCGTGAGATAGAGAGTGGGCACGCGAGAAGGAGACAGAGAGAGAAAGATAGAGAGAGAAAGAGAGAGAGAGAGAGACAGACGACGCACATCGCTGGTTCACCTCCGCCGATGGAGTGCCGCACGCGGCGAGCATTGTTACAGCAGCTGACAATCCAACTCCCGACGATCGCCGACCCGTCGACGACGACGCTGCCGACAGCGCGCGAACGCCACCGCGCGACGTCATCGCACACGCATACGCACACGCCGACGAGCGGGGTTTCCCGGTATCGCATCACGAGCGGAAGCGAGCCGACGTGTAGCATCTAATTATTATAAGCGCTGACGAACACACGTAACATCGCCATGACGACGCTTCCGACCGTCTTAGAGAACCAAGTACCAGCCGAGCAGCAGCATCCCAACGGACGGGACTCTTCCGCATCTTCCTGCTCCGATGACGAGGTCGTCGTGCCGTCGCTGAAGCCGCCCGATGGAGGCTGGGGCTGGATGGTCGTCCTCGCCGCCTTCTTCATTCACGTCATCGCCGACGGCATCACCTACTCGTTCGGCGTCTACCTGATCGAGTTCATCGATTACTTCGACAGCAGTCGCAGCGCGACGTCGCTCATCGCTTCCATACTCGTCGGCGTGACGCTCGGATCCGGTGAGTTACACGAGATAGCGTAGACTAGAGGGAGGATAGAGGGGGAGAGGGAAGGAGAAAGAGGGGAAAGAGAGAGAACGTATAGAGGTAGGGAAGATGGGGGGGGGAGAGATGGGGAAGAGATGAGGAGAGGGAGAGGAAGGGGAAGAGAGTGAGAGCGAAATAGAGAGAGAGAGAGAGAGCGAAAGAGACAGACAGCGAGAGAGGGGGGGGGCAGGGAGAGAAAGATAGAGGCGTGACGCTCGGATCCGGTGAGTGACGGGGGAGCGTAGACTAGAGGGAGGGGGAGAGGGAAGGAGCAATAGGGGAGTGGGAAGGAGGAATAGGGGAGAGATGAAAGGAGAAAGAGGGGAAAGAGAGAGAGAGATGGAGGAGAGTGCGAGAGAGCCAGGGAGAGGGAGTGAGAGATCGGGAGAGAGAGAGAGAGAGAGAGAGAGAGAGAGAGAGAGAGAGAGAGAGAGATGGGCTGATAGTCACCGGAAACTAAGAGATAAAATCCTGCAAAACCACGGCCTGTACGCAGCAGTGTGTGCGTGCGTGCGTCGCGTGACGTGCGTGCGTAGCGTTGCTGTGCGTGCGTGCGTTCGTGCTGTGCGCGCACA